CACTTTCATTCAAAATAATTGGTTTTTAAGGACTCTATTGCAATATAAGTAGTTTAAATGACTGTTTAGTGCTTACAGAGCCCCATAATTTATTCTGCATATTTTCCATTAATACTTTTTCTCAATATATCAGCAGAAAACTGCATGACTCATGGATATAAACTAAGGAAAAGAGGTGCACTCCACAGTCAATTGACAATGTATTTGTCAGAGTGCACTATGAAATATAAAATTGCTACAGCAACATAAATAGCATTATTTCAACTACAGTCAAGTCATTAGATTTTCATTAATTAGGCTAAATAAAAATGGGACAAATATGAACTTAATCTTGGCCAAAATAACCTAAAAAGGAAGTAAAACGTTCATCCCATCCTTATTTTAATAATAAAGCATAGCAAGGAACAAGAACATAACTTTAAACAATTAGGGTTATATTGCCACAATTAACTTTAGCTTTCCACCTAAAATGAAAGAAACAATTGTAATCCTGACTGGTGCACTCCCTTTATAAGCACAGGCTTAAATTTCTTTCTTCTTAAATTGCTGAACTCCTAACAGTTGATCTAAATTGTTGGTTTTCAGAACTGTTCTTGATATTTCTAAACTTATCCCCACCATTCCATACATCTCTTGCTTCTCCTTCTTTGCCTCTCTTTCACTGAGGTTGAAATCAGTCTACAACTAAGTTAGAACGGTGTAAAACCCTTTAATATGTAATATGAAAAAAAAAAGTCAGTCCCTAATCTAGTTTAGCATAGAAATGATCATACAATTCAAAGAGAAGGAACACCTATGGAAAGAATGCAGGGGGCTTTTTTCCTAAACCCCTTTTGTAAAGGTAAGTAATTGATTTTTTTTTCAGCTATAGCTTAATTCAACTAAACATTTCCTGAAACCTCTTTATGCAACAGGATTCACCAATATATAATTTGCATGAAAGCATGGAATCAAGTGCCCATTGATTTGGCATAGCTATAAATACTGTATTAAGAGAGTTACTTTTGATGAGAATATTGACAGATGGCTTCAGAAGGGTAAAATGCATTCAACACACACCTATTTAGTTTGCTCACACAGTAGAACTTAAGAATTCAGTAGCAATTAAATGCAGGTATAATTTTTAATGAAAAAAATATGAGTTTTAAGACTTATGCCCTAGATCTATTCTAAACATAATATAAATTAAGAGTTCCTAACATAACTAGACTATTTCAATCACCTGCAGGCCAGAGTGGATTAAGACTTATATAACTAACAATTAATGCATATGCTCTGCCTTTCACATTAACCCTTGTGCTAAAATAAATCATTTTGGTCCAATCTTCCCTTCACTAAAAGCTCAAAAGGCCCCTAATGTAATAGTTACATATGTTAGTTTTACTACTAATACAATTTGCATTTAGTGTGGTTTATACAAGGTATATTTCAGTATTTTTTCATAAAATTTATAAACATTCAATAACATATGAAAGTGATCAAACTAAAATTATCTATAACACAAACAGACAAAACAGAATTAGGAATACAAATTCTGTTACCAGTTATAAAAATATACAGGGACTAGCCAAAAAAACATCGTAAGAACTTCAATAAAATCTGACTAAATGCTGTCACACATTTCTATGTTAGGCATTCCAAACTAAACTGACATACCTGAATATGTTTTATGTTTTCTCCAAAAAAAAAAAAAAAATCAACCATACAATCATAACAAGGTATAGGTTTTTAAAAAGAAAGATTCTATCATAACAGCAATAATAAATAAGTAAACAAACACATACTCAAAAGCAAATCACATTCAGAAAGCATCTCATATGAATGAGTATCAGAAACACTTAAGCAAGAAAAGACATTGAATGTCAGAACCTTTGGAAGGAGAGAACAAAGAAAAGGTAAGAAATAAAAAGAGTATTCATCAAAAAGGGTAAATTACAACCAAAACAAAATCTCTTCTCTCCTTCATGCTTCCTCCCTTTCTCAGAAAACATCCAACTTGATGTTATTGAGAAAAACTAGAAAGGGACAGAACCTGCTTCACTCACGCTGTGCTTGTCCAGGTCTTCAATGTTGTTACTTTTATACAACTCGACACAGTATTAGTAATGACAGACGTTCAAATCTACCTAAATTTTAGTACTTTCATTAATTGCCCAAGGACCAGAGCCTTAGACTCCACCTAATACTGAATTTATAAACTCATTTTGCATTATTCTTTCTCTCTAATAATCCTCGCTACCTTTTAGCAAAGGCTCAACTTCAACATTAAAACGTCAATATTCTCCCAACATAAAACCTCTAATTTCACCTAAAAACTTCTCTCTGCTTCATTTTGGCAGTTTCACCATTACTGCTGATGTGACACAATGCTGAAGTCAAATTATGCAGAACTGTGCCTTCATCAATATTATGTTATGCTAAACATACTGAATTTTAGTATTTATAAAAGCATATTAAGTTAGAATGGCAAGTTCATTTTACTAAGAATGGTTTTAAGCATCAATAGTTTACCTTGCTTTACTATCAAGGAACTTAAATTTTAAAAGAACATACTTTTCTTATGCTCAATCATGACATCCGTAATTTTACAATTTAATGTGCTAACTTGATGTTATGGTGCACTGACAAAGCTGAAGGAATTGCTTTCTTCCCCAAACAGAATCTAACGCATTTTTTAAGCACTCTGAAAAAAATGCAAATGAAATTATTAGTGGCATTTAGTACTTTTATATCTAAAGTTAGAAAGTCAATATTCGATCAAGTTGTGGCCTCAATATGTTGATTTAATTTCTGATCACTCAGGATCATTGCTCATGGCTATGTTTTGCTAGAGCCTTGTAACATATAAGCAAGCAACCAATTTTAGTTGTATCATGGCTGTTGTTTGAAACAATAGACTAATTCAAGGAAGGTTAGAAAAGAAACATTGTTTCAATTTATTTGGATAACACTTTGTTCTGGATAATCATAGTTTCCACTGCTAAATTAATGCTGGAAGGTCTAAAATTTTTCAGACATTACCAAGTGATCTGGTATTACTAATATTCATTGCATTTGGTTAGGACACAGATTGGTATAAAATTAGCCATTCGCCATTCTTTGGATATTAAGGAACTTCTAAAGAGTCACATCACAGCCTTGCCTGCCTCTTTAAGGTTGGTAGAAGGCTCAAACTAAAAATATTTGAAGACACTTCATAAGCCATAAAATACAATAAAAGTTAAAGCATTAAAATTATCTTTAATGATTTAACAGTAACTGTGTTCACCTGACACTTATTCTACATATATCAGATTTAACAAGGCTTAAGGAAAGTTTATAGTGAATGCAAATTAGGTTTTGTCCCACCAAGTTTTTTTTTTTTTCCCCTTAAAGTAAGAAAATGAAAACAATGCTATGATGATTATCAGGACAGAGAATTTCCTAAATGCCTTCTATAATTACATGTTTTATTAAATCAATTTAATAGTTATTGCAGATAGCTTAGCCAACTCAACTGTATTTAGTTCTTAAGAAAACCAAACACCTGAAACCCACTGCCAAAAATCTGAAATTGAAAAATTTAAAACATAGCATGTCTTTTAACATTTGAAACACAAAATAGCTTATGCAATTAAAAACAACTCAACTATCCATATTGGAAACATTAAAAACCTTTAATTCAGAAAGACAACAACTAAAAAGTTGAAGTAATGTTCTTCTAAATAAAAGATAATTATTTTTTAAATAATGGATTTGCATTAAGGCACACAAGAATCAAGGTGGGTTTTTTCTCGCCTCTTGATTAGCCATTTAGAAGAATAGATCATAGCCTAAATCCAAGTCTGAATTTTTTTTTCCTTAGTAAGAAGAGCTTCCTATATAAAGAGAAAAGAGACATCTTTTTGTACCTCACTGTTAGGATACTCTTCACAGAGAATGAATTTTAAATAAAACCCACAAACAACTAGTTAATAGGAATAACAAACATCATTAGCATTTAAAAAGTTGAAAGAGTTATGTAATAACTGTCTGCCTTAAAAAAAACAAAAAACAAAAACACTGATTAGTCAATCTTGTGTCACTATAATCTACATTTTTATAACTTTCCTCACACCAAAAATGGATATACAACGTAACATTTTATACATGACTTAAGAATGAGTAGAGAACCTAATTCCTACCAATACATATCTAGACTGAGAACTTTTATCAATAATTCACCTTTTTTGAAGTTAGACAGAAATTTCACCACACTTATAGTGACTGAGGAAAAATAACAGAAACAAACAGCTGATAGCTGAGACTTGAAGCTTAACAACATTGGCCATCTACTTGAGAACATGCAGGAATATTGAAGTTTTGTTTTGCACCATGCTGCCACTGATTCCTTTCTTAAAGAGAGTGATCAGCAAACAAAACATGTCTACTTTAGGTCCAAACCATGTGAACAAGACCTATATCTAAAACTGTAGTCTGATACACTGTATACTACATTGTTTGGTAGTTTCAAAACTCAAAAGGTTCAGTTTAAAGACTATTGTTTATTGATAGTGGTTCTAATTTTTAACCCTTTAATGTCAAGGTAATAATTCACAAAAGTACAAACACAGCACAACTTTTGATTATGCAAGCATTAAGGGTATGTTTTATTGCAATATATGAGGATATTCCAAAACAGCTAATGTTACGTGCAAGACATTACTCACTTGAATTTGTACAAATTTTTACATAAGATACTTGTTACTGAGCAATACTGAATTTTTGGAATAAAATTTTCAATATTGACCAATAGGATACTGAGTATCACTATTTAGCAATGACAACAACAACAAAAAAAGTGGTTTTGTACTGAAGTGGTTATGTACAAATAAGTCATTTAGGCTGTCTATCATGCCTACTTTCAAAAGACCCTGGAGGTCTTCATTTGCAAAAGCACTTATCTTGGGAGAAGACACACAAATAAATGATTTTTTAAAAATCAAACTAATTCTTATAAAATAGAAAAGCATTAATCTTACCTTGAATAGCCATTAGAAAAAACTGATCTGCTAGGGAAGTTCATAGTCCCCAAGGAAGTGAGGTTGTCATCTCCAGATCCTTGGCACCTATTCCAATTTTCAGAACCAACAGAAATTGGTGGAATGACATTAAAAACAGGCTTCTGATCTTGCTGAGAAAGGGATGCTGTATTCATGTCATAGTGGTACATCTGTCCTCCAGAGGTACTCACGCCATGAACAGAAATGGCAGACATTTTATTACCAATTATATTTGCCCCAGAAAAGCTTGCCTGACAGTAAACTGGGCCCAGTTTCTCTTGCTTAATTACCCCAGGGGTGCAGAGTTCAATGAAATCTTCTTTTTCTGTTTTCACATGGGGCAGTGGTACACTGCTGGGGTTTGGTAAGATTATATTTCCATTATCCTTAATTTTAGGTTTAGTGTCCGGTAAAATGAGAGGCTTACAGTCCTCACTCGCATCTCCTTCCAAAGGGAATGGATCATCTTCTCCTGCCAAAGGAGAAAGCAAACAGTTTTCATCTATCAATAGGTCTGATCTCCAAGGACTCTCGTTTGTCTCTTTACCTGGGGACCCAGAAGAAAACTCCAAATCCTGAAAAATGTCAAAGGTGCTTTGGTCTGTGGTACACAATTTCACATTGCCAACACTGGTGCCAGACTGGCCTTTAAGATTTTTCTGTTCTGAAGATACATCAGAGTGTGTTTGGAGAAACTCCTTCTCTGTGGAGGCATCAGACACAGCAGCAGATGCTGAACTCTTGGGGTTGTCTGGAACACTGGATGACCTATTAAGGTTTGCAATACTTTCTTCCAGAAGTCGAAAGTCTGTTTCCCCAGAGGAAAGGCTGATTTGGCCCTGCTGTGGAAATCCCAGGTCATTTCCCATCACTTTTGTTTCTGTCTCTCCCATATACAGTCCCATTGAGAGCGAAACTGCTTTGGACAGATCTGGCTGTTGCACATTGCTTACTGAGCCTTTTGGAAAATCAACCGACAGTCTTTGTTGCTTGGAGTCTGTCTGAGAGGCAGTAGCCAGTAAGGGTGAAGATGCAGAACCCTTCACAACAGCTCCTCCCCTTAGGGTTTTACAGAAGTCCATGACATTTCCCTTCTCCAGGCCAAGTACACTGCTGGGGACTTCTTCTCTACTTGGGGGAGCTAATGATTCTTTGGGGTCCATCAAGTGTCAGCTAAAAAAATTAAAGAAGAGAGGGGGAGAATGTAGTAAGCTTTAAAGTCACGTTATCTCTGTGATCTGATTAGTAAGAGACAGCCTCTTAAAATGAACCTTTTAGTTAACTGTGAATCAAATTCTTTATCAGAAGAATAGTCTCTATCTTCAGAACACAAAGCTATGCCCCTGCTCCCATTCTGTGTGCCATATTCAAAAGCACAATGCAGTCCATCTGCACAGCTGAGGACAAAATTGTATGGAACTAAACTTGGCTATTCATGCTGCTACTCACTGAACGTGTGTAGCACTGTTAATCACAGATATTATAATTCATTACAGGTGATTATTCTAAAGGTTCAAGTTGATGTCAAAGTATTTGATTTAGAAAAAAAATGTGTGATCATTAAAATTCCTACCTTTTTTCAATCAAGTTGTTTGCTTTTCTGAAGACCAATACTTATTTAATGAATTCTGCCTCAGAATTCCCTACTCTTAATTATTTAAAAGTTCACCTCCCACCAACTGGTCACACATCCAACCCTTTTAGTAAAGCCTACTGGCGAACCAGTATGTTTTATTTGAAAAATAAACAAGGCTGATCTGTTTAACTTAATAGGTTGGAGAAAGGCTCTAATTTTTAGCCCACGTTTCTGAGTGGATGCGCCTTAAGTACAGCCTACCTTCAAATTTTGGATATATGAAATGATATACACCATATTCAGGTTAACTAAAATTTACATTTTTAAGAAGCAGAGCAGAATTGTAACTTCTCGCTATAATTTTAGCTCATTTAAATATGACAGACTTATCTGGCCCGATCGGAATTCCCAATAAACTTAGGTTAATTTACACTACTGGCTAAGCTATATGTCCTTTTTAAAGTCTTTAAGCTCCTCGGTAAAAAATACTATTGTATCTCTAAATTAAAATTTCTTCTTTTCAAATATCGAAGTTCTGAAAAAAATAGAAAAATCCAGAACTATAAAATCACATTCATATAAATCCAGATAAAACAGTATCCAATAATATGGTAAGAATAATTTCCTCCGCAATTCTGAACCGTCCCCTATCCCAATTCTGAGCCTACTTTCAAGGCTATTAGACTGCTAGAATATTGTTCATAATCAGGACGTTTCAAGAGGCTGACAAGGACTTTGATACGCTGATTCGGACGTTACTATCAAATACCATCCAAGAAAAGGAAATTCTTCCTGTTCCAAAACACTAAGAAGCCTAAAAGTCCCGGCCCTGACTGAAAGAGGAGTATGACAAAAGAGGGAAGGAGTGGGGACCTGCCACCAGGAATCTTCAGGGTACACAGCCTACCTCCCTGCTCCTCTACAGTGTTTATCTGATAACAGGGTATCAAACACAAGGTATTCAAAGGCGACTAAATGAATTTCCATGCCACTTTTTGACAGCTGCCTTCAAACCCGAAATCATAAAAATACTTCATAAAACAAAATGCTAGCTCAAGCGACTTTTTATCCCCCTCACGCCACCCTCAATTATATCGCAAATACCGGTCACTGAACCATGCCAAGGGGCCCTAAGTGGTAAGCATCAAGCCAGCAACCTCAAACGTCCAACTAGCACTTGTCAACAATCACTGCACAAAACTCTTACGGTTGGAGTCTTTTTCTAAAGGCGGCGTGAAACTAAGTCAACAGCTTAAGAACAAGCCCCCTGGGGGAGAGGAGGAAAAAGTGCGAGGCTGACAGAGATGCGTCCCGACCTGTTGCGTTCCCCGCGACACGCCCACTCGCAGCAGATAAGGCGGCGGGCCGAAGTCTGGAGCGGCGGGCAGCGGCCCTGCGCGTGCACTCGGCTCACTCTCGCTCACATGCGCGCCCGCCGGGACCGGGACCCGGACCGGAGCCCGGGCCGAGCGACGGGCGCACCCGGGCGGGAAGGCTCGGGCTAGCGTGCACCCTAAACGCCCATGTCCGGGCGGCCCCCTTGGAGGGAAAAGATGCCCGACTCCCGCCGGGGAACCAGACGCTCGCAACCCCCGGGCAGCTGGTCGAGGCTCCGCTCGCAGTCGGAGCTCAGGTTCCTCCCCCTCCGCGCGGCGGGGGAACAGCGGCTGAGGGAGAGGAAGAGGCCAGCGCTGTCACCGCGCGCTGCCCTTTCGTCACCGTCGCCCGGCCCTCGCCAGCCTCCACCCCCACTCCCTGAGGCTAATAAAAGTTTGCAGACTCCCGCGGCCGCCCCGGCTGGGTCCCCCGCGACACCTCGGGGCGCCGAGCGCCCGCCCCAGCCCCCACCCTCCGCCTCTTACCTCTGGCAGCGGCGCCGCTCACCCGCCACCGTCCGCAGCTCCTACCGCACCCGAGATAAACAACTTGGCGTGTGAGAGCAGGAGGAGCAGGAGGGAAATATTTTATCTAAAAAAAGGAAGTAAACAGCCGCCCCCTTCTCCATGGGAGGGAGGAGGGGAGCGCCCCTATTTCAAAAAGTCTCCCATTTCCCCGCTGACAAGCCAGACGCCCGCTCCGCTCCGCTCCCTCTCGGCGGCTCCGGGCTCCGGCGCGCGCGTCACCCGTCCCGGCGCCGCGCCGCTCCGGCCACTCGGCTTCTCCTTCCACCCGCTAGAATCCGTCCCCAACAGGGGAACTGGCTGTGACTCGGGTTCCAGGCACAGACTCGAGCTCGCAAAATGGAGGAGGAGGAGGGGAGGAAGCACGGACACGCGAAAGGGCCGCCCGGCCGCGGCAAGCAAGCGGGACCGAGCTGGGGGCGGGCGGAGGCGGCGCCACGGCGCGCACACACTCGCACACACGCGCTCCCACTCCACCCCCGGCCGCTCCCCGCCGGAGGGGCCGCGCGGCGGCCGCGGGGAACGGTGCAACCTGTTGGCGACGCGCGGCAACTGCAGGGGCGCTCGCTGCCCTCACCCCTACGCCCTCCGCGCGCTCCCTGCCACCCGGCCCCGACGGTCTGCGCCTGCAGCCCTCCGCCCCGGGATTGCCTCGGCAGCAGGCCGGTCGCCACCAACCCGGGCGCGCGGGGCCTCTCCTCCCCCCACCCAAGGAAAAAAGAAAGTGAGGCTGCGGCGGAACGGCCGGACCTGGTCTCTCGGGGCATCCTTAGGAGGGAAACTGAGTTTCTTTAGTTTCTCTTCTCGCTGCCGCCTCCCCGCCTCCGCCCTGCTCCGAGGCTTGGGACCCACTCCGGAGGTCGCCCTGTCCCTCGGCACCAACGCCCCTGCGGGTGACAGTAGGCGGGCCGGGGGCGTCGGGGCGCGGCCCGCAGCAGAGCCGCAGGGGTGGTCCGCGTTGCCGGCCCCCGGCCGAGCTGCGCCAAGTGTGTCACTAATATAGGGGCTAGGGGATTGCACCGAAACGGTGCCGCAGCGCCGCGACCGCGCTTGGGGCCGGACGGCAGACACGCCCTCCCGAGAGGCTGGGGAGGGCTGGGCAGGGCAGGGGAAGAAAAGGGGGTCCGTGCATACGTACTTTGGGCCCGGAGGAGTCGCGTGCCGGCAGGTCCCCCCACCCCCGCATCGTCTGGGCCGCCGGGTCTGCAGCCGCCGCGTTTTCGCACCCTGAGAGAAGTTGCAAAGCAGAACCCACCCTCCCCCGCGCCCCTATCGTCCCCCGCCCTCTTCCCCGAGTCTGCTAGGCGGCGGCGGTGGCGGCAGAAGGAGGCGCCGCCAGCCAAGTTCAACCCCCACCCCGCCCTCCCTCTTTCTCTCTCGCGCTCTCTCTCTCTCTCCCCCTCTCTCCCAGCGCGCTCACACTCTAAGGAAGTTGCAATCCAAATGCAAAACCTCCGGCGAGCTGGATTTCTTTGCATTTTTAAAATTATGAGTAAGGAAAGCAGGGGAATGGCAAGGGGCTACAAAGCAAGTTGCAAACGAAATACTAAGTTGCTGGCAAAGTACGCCTTCCTCCCATCCCAAACTCCTGACCTCTCCTTCCTCCCCTTCTCGGGCCCAAGTCCAAGTTCCTGGTGGAGGCCCCTCCCCCGAATCTTGACATTTGCTGCCCTCGACTCTGTGCGTCGCTCACCCTTTGGCGTCCGGAGGACCCCAGCCCCTCCAAACAAAACAAAACACACGCAGCTTTAAAATGTCAGCGTTAAACTCCCTCCAGCTGTTCCCGTTATGCGCCTCCCCCTCAGTCCGAGGGAAACACGTGGCTGGTCCCCGAGGAGAGGAGAGGAGAGGGGCGCGGGGGGTCCGCGCGGGAAGCGCCCGCCCGGATTCCCCCCCACCCCCGCCCCTTCCCCAGCTCGCCGCGTCGGGAAGGCTTGGGCGATGCCGGGACCCAGCTTCCTACCTTGTGCGGCACATATTAGGATTTTTGTGACTCGGGGAAAGGTGGTGCTGTGTTGCTTTAGGGTGTAGGGAGGCAACTTTTGCGCCCCCACAGGTGACAGTGTTTGGCAGTTCCTGACAAGAGCGGGGGCCGCCGCGGCTCCACCTAGTCCCTGCCCTGGAGTGCGGCCGCAGCTACTCTCCCTCCTCCCGCCGCGCTCCGACTCTGACGGCAGCCGCCTCTGCTCTGACATCTTGGAGAGGATTGGGGAAGCGCGTGCCGGAAGTCGCCCGCCGCCATCTTGGTAAAGAACGGTGACGCCAGCCCGGCCCCGCGGACACCATCTTGACAAGAGTTCTCGGTTGCATCCAGCTTAAATCGCCCTGCCCTCATTCGAAAGTGTAAACGCTGACTCCGTGTTGTCTGCTGTAGAATGAAAGAATTTAGCTTGAAGCAGGCCCCTTGTTTAGAGACGATCCACTGAGGCCACCTAAGGAGGCCGCCATCTTGGCAAAGGAAGTGTCGCTTGCTACCTGGGAAAAGGAAAGAGAACGAAAACCTAAGCCCATGTAGAGCCGTTGGCCAAAGAGTTTTTACGGAGGGCACAGAGCAACTTAGTCTTGACAAAAACCCCCTTTTAAATGCAGGAAAAAGACTCCTTCCATCCCTTGAGGAATGAAGTCAACTTAGAAGGAGGAGGGTCGTAGTGGACATTAAAGGAGAGAATTTGCTGCTATCACTCTACTTTGCCTACTTTAACATTTATTTTACCACTTGTCAGTCTCGGGTTCTGGAATCAGATGCCTTCTGTGGATTCAGTACCTAAACTACCAACGGTTTCATAGGGGGGAAAAAACTATATATATATATATATACATATATACATATATATATATACATATATATATGTACACATATATATATATATACATACATATATATATATGCTCACAATTTATACGGTTTAAAAGTGAATTAAATAATTTTAAAGTTCTGATTAAAGAAAGGGAAGTGGCAGGGGCGAACAAGCAAGTTGCAGACAAAATACTCTGGTTCTTGCAGGTTGGCTTAGAAGAACAGGAGTTGCACACGGGTGCGTACACTCGCACTCGCGCGCGAGGCTGTGCGTAGCAGGACTGCCAGCGAACACTTCTCCCCATACCGGAGTCCCTGTGCTCTGAAAAGAACACACGCCATCTCTTCCTCTTACATGTTCTAGTTCTAAATGGTAGGTACGCTTTGCTTTTAAATAATTTAAGAGTTTATAAGAATTTCCAGTTAATATTTTTCTCTGCAAGTCCAGCAGATCTTCATACATAGTTGTAAGTTAAAAATTGCCATTGCAAACATTTAATTGAGAAAAACTGTAAATTTTTTCCTATCTTTTCCCTTCAGTGGTCTAAATATGCCTACTAATTTTTGAATTTTATAGAAAAATCTTTCTCTTTAGTCTTGCATGTTCATATGAAAGTATGCATAAATGTAGAGGAACAAAAAGTTATGATTCATGCTTAACATGTATTGATTTTTCTGCTGCCCAGTTTTGCTGGTAACGGTTGAATGACATAGGTATTATTATTTTATATTATTTGGGCAGTGCTGGGTATCAAACCCAGAGCCTCCCACATACTAGGGAAGTGCTCCACCAATGAACTATATCCCCAGCCCTACTTGATTTTTCAGTATGAGGAAAATGAGGCTTACAGAGGCTGGTGTTTGCCCCAGGGTCACATATCTCCTAAGTGTCAACGGTGGAATTGAACAACATTAATGAGGTTTTCCTCACTGATTTTATAATTTCCATGAAGCAGATCAATTTCATGATAAACTTAAAATATTTATTTATAGAATTTAACTTAGGATATGAAGTTCAGTGTACCAGAAAGGGCTGATAATTGTGGTAACACAATTCTAAGGATAGTTAACATCTCTTGAGCATATTCTGTCTGCCAGGCAGTATTGAACATTTTTTATGCACAATATCCTAGGTCTTTAATATGACATTTGTTCATTTGTAACTTTGGGAAACTATCATTGCTGCAAAATAGGAAATAGGATGAATCCCCACCTAAAGTAAGTATTTGATTATCTCCAGAGTGAAACTGATATATTTAAATTCCATCAAGTTAAGGACCTGATATGCCTTCTTCATTGCTTTATGCCCTACTCCTGGAACAGAGCCCCCCATACATAATAGGCTCTCAGGAAATATTTTACAGAATTATAATAATAACATCAAATCAACTAGTCAGCTGGGCATAATATCACTTTTGAGTCGTGGTAGCCAAATGACTTAATGAAAAGTGTAGAAATATTACTCAAGATCCTCACTTTCATTGTCATGGATTTAAATACCTGAGTGACCCCCACACACACCAAACTAGATTACATTCATTATTGCATGGTCTTATAGTATCCTGCATACTCTGGTAGCACATTACAATAATAGTTCATTTATAAATCATAGAAAGGGAGGACAGAAGGGAGGGAGGAAGAAAGAAAGGAAAGAAGGAAGGATCTGGTCTTAGGCTTTGTCCTAAGACGGATAAAACTTTAAGCTTGAACAGTAAACAATCTGCCTTTTACAATTATCTAGCATTTAATAGCTTATCCAAGTAAATTCTCCCACTCTGCTCATCTGTTTTATTATCTCCATTCCCACTAAAATAATCCAAGCCACACTACCACATTACATACCAAAACAGCAATTAGATCATGCCATGTCCTGCTCCAGTATATACAATAGTTCTCTATTCCATTGATACACAGGTCCCAACTCCCATTCTGACATTTAAAACCATCATCTTTTGCCTGCCCTTTGTAGATAGTGAAGCCTTCTAGCCGATGTGATTGGACTTGTATTTGAATTTTAAAACTTATTTTAAGAAAGAGGATCGTAAAACGTGATAACTTGCAAACTTTAAATTTTTTGAAACCTAAAACTAACATTGAACATTTATTTGCTCATCTTTTGATAAAGGTCTAAAGCTTTTATGAATTTGCTGACTGGAGTGTCATGTTATGTTCCATGTCACACAGTGCGTCAGGACAAAATAGTAGTGTAGATGTCTAAATGTTTATGTTTCCTCCCTCCTGCCCTCACTCCAGTCTTTTAATATTATCTCATATCCACCTTATTTGACTGCAATTGTTTATATAGCATCTTTCCATTTAGATTTTGTAGGACAGCAATGATTACATATTTATATTTCATCCTTTTTACTTAATATTGAATGAAATGAAGTAATATATAATATCAAGCACAAATGGCCTAAATATGTTTGACAGAGAAGTACAAGGAACTGTAGATAGCAGAATTGGTGGCAGTAGAAATGTATGGAGTGTAGGAAGTAACCTGGGTTCTGTGTTCAGCATACTCAGGGCATCAATCTGCATGTGTTCCAGAGTACTTGGAATTGTTGAGATGAATTGAGTAGTGTTGGTTAAGAAAGATTCCATTCAGGAAAGGGCACAGCACACCATACTCATTCCTACCTCTGCTGTTGGTTATCATGTCTATTTTCTCTTACATAATGACACATCTTTGT